TGATACTCCTCCAGGGTCCAATCCACGCTATCCACCTCCAGCACGGGGAGTATCGAGAAACAAAACCGCCTCACGTCCCGCAAATAGTGCTCCGACGGGACCGCACCGCCGTACTTTGTCGAGTCATCAAAGCTGCCGAACCTCTCCGGAGTTTTGGCGAGGTTGGCCGAGCGGAAGATGCCCGAGCTGGTCCGCCGGGTGTTGACCAGAGAGGTGTACTTCAGCTGGTCCACCATGAACTTGGTCGTATGCGCCTGCAACAGCATTGCGAGGGCGACACGTTTTCGTTGTAGCACAGGTCGGCGCTTATGAGATCTAACATTTCCCGCAGNCCTTGGAGATGTACTCCGGGAGACGCCGGAGGCACCCAGCATCCCACGCGTTGAAGCTCGTCTTGCGCTTTTCCGCCTCCTGCTTGCCTTTATTAAACTCCGCACTTCGCACACTTGTACCTGCACGTGCATGGGAGCAAATATACACCACGAGCAATATCGTCGGAAAACCACAAGACGAACTCCAATCTACCAGAAACCCAGAATTCGTCGGATGCCACGAAAACATGACTGATGAAGTTTATCGAGCGAACACTCTTCGTCGCATGCTGAACTTACCGAAACCCCATCACGTACGCCACGTCGTGATCCATGAACACCCGGCGTGGCCCCTGAGGGTTCCAGCCATCAGGTGCGCCCTTGCCCCCACATCCTGGACAAGGAACTGCCTGGAGCTCTGGGAACAAGAACTCCGGTATCCATACCAATACCGCCTTCTGATAAAACCGGTCGAGTTTCGGTAGGTCTGGGCGCGCGTAAATGTGAGGTAGATATGTCAGAACATCAGGCACGCGAGACAAAAAAAATAGCCTACCGGGGGATGGGATGTATTTTCCCTGGACGATATAATCTGAAAAGAAAGATAGATAGGCAGCTATTTACCCCCCCCAAAAAAAAAACCAACTCCTCTGGCGTACCTGGTGATGGCTGAAAAGTGGCACACTTCGGACGCACGAGCGGGTTGTCAAACGGGAACCGGCCTTTCACACCACCTCCCTCGTGGGTGATACTCTGGTCGATCTTGTCCTTCACTTCTTCAAAGAAGCGTTCCTGCGCACTGGATGTTGAAGGATCATCATCGCCGGCCCCTCCACCGGCGGCTCCTCCAGCCCCACCTCCTCCTGCTCCACGACCTGGCGCTGCTGCCCCTCGCCCCCCTCCTCCACCTCCCCCACGGCCGCTCATCCCCCTCCTCTACCTCCTCCACGGCCGCTCAGCCCCCCTCCTCGTCCTTGTTGGCGCGCTCCGCGGTCGTGACCTCCGCTTGCTGTTGGTCTCGCCGCTGCCGCCCCCGCGGCGGCGGCTACTTCCGCTGCTGCTGCTGCGAGTTGTGCCGGTGTTGCTGCCCCTGTTGCGGCCTCTGGTGCCGCTGATATTGCCGGTGCTGTTGATGCTGGTACTGACCCCTCACCTATTGGAGAGGATAGCTCTGCTGGAGCTGCCCCCCCGCGTGCTTGGGAGGCTTCATGAGCACGGGCTTTACCCTTGCCTTTGCTGGGAGGGTGCGGGACGGGTACCGCCGCCACTGCTGCTGCTGCTGCTGCTGCTGCTGCTGCTGCTGCTGCTGCTGCTGCTGCTGTTGCTGCTGTTGCTGTTGCTGCTGCTGCTGCTGCTGCTGTTGTTGTTGTTGTTGTTACGAGCTCTGTTGGTGCTGTTGCGGATCCTTCTCCTACGGTTAAGAATGATGGTGCCCGAGCTTCTTCTCCATCTACTCGAGAGTGGTCACCCTCATCGTCCAAGCGAGGAGGCGACTGCTGTTGTGTACCGGCGGGAGGTGGAGTGGACTCGCCTATGGTTGGTGCCGCCGTGCTTGATGAACCACCAGAACCCCCACTAACGTCGACATCGCCGGCGGATGACGCGCTTCTAGCATCCGCACTGCTTCCCTCCCCACTTTGGTCTTCACTCACCCGTGGCCGCTTTGATGATGGCTGGGCTTGCGGGTGCCGGGAAAGCATCCTTGCGAACGCGGCCGCCTGGTTCTTCTGCTGCGCAGCTATCCTCTCCTCTCCGCATTTGTCTTCCGACCCGCTTTTTGTGCGCCATCCTTGGGTTTTGATCCTGGATTTCGCCCCATGGGGAGCGCTGGCTCCACGGTTGCTGTGGGAGGGCTGTTGTGCTTCCGTTGTGGTCTGTGTTGGGTGTTGTCATCATGTGTTGTCATGTGTCTCGGCGGCAGCGGCCCAATTCGGGTGCTTTGGTCCAATCACAGGTCGTCGTTTTTCATGGTCTCGGGGTCGTTTTTCATCTCGGGATGTGCTGTTGACCAATAAAATTGCGTCGTTTTTCACTTTTGTTGCCCTGCTTATGGGCCCTGTGCCAAAAAAGCAGACCTGCCAGGGGGTACGCGCATGGGATTGTGTTGGCGCCGCCGAGCGCCAAGGGTTCAGAGTCATTGCTCTTGGCACACACACACACACACACAGGACGGCACCCGAGAGATTCTACGGAAGTACGAGAAGAGCAACGAGGATTCGCCAATGTCGTGGTGCCTCCTGATAGTGCTGCTGCTCGGCGCGCCCTTCTTGCCGCCATGCGGAGGATCGCTCCATGTTTTCTATAGCGGCGCAACCCCGACCGGTTCCGCCGAAGGTGCTACGGCTGGGTTGCTTGGCGCATCCGATAGAAGTATGGAGGGTGGGGCCGAGGCTCTCCGGAGGTTTGCTTCTACACGGGCTATGAAAACAGGAACAACCATCGCTGGCGTAGTTTTCGAGGTTAGTCACGTCGTATTTCTTACGGAAGTGCCAACTAATTTAGTGGCAGCAGCGCCATGTCCAATGTGGGCTCTTTTCGCCGTGCTCTCGGTGCCTGCTTTGGCAGCGATGGTGGCCTGCCCGCTGAACACACTTCGCAGAGACTTGTCTTGCTGGTTTCTGGGCGGGTAAGTATGTGTTACTGCCACTGCCAGCGGAACCAAACCACTGAGATTGCTACATAGTTGACGTGCTATGCATACGGCTGTACCGCTGTTGCGAGCAGCACAGCAAGTTCTTGTACATCGAACGAACGAAGCGACTGCGAGAAAGAGTTATCCATGTACTCCAATAGAGTAGTCCGGCATGAGCGTGTGTTGTGGCGGTGTAGCCGAAAGAAGAGGAAACAGAAAATAGTCGCTACGGTGTCTGCGGAGAGCCAACCTTGCTTTCGTTCACGCGTCTTGAAGTTTGACAGAACACAAACCAGCTTGCGCCCGACAGCTTTGCGTTAGTCCGCTTTGCATTGTCAAGGGAATGTCCTGTTGGTGCCGGCTGGTCTACCGACGACGGATGTGTTCCGACTTGCGGAAGACACGCAGGGATGAAAGGACGTCGTTAGGTCTCCCTGACTGACAGCATCGCGTTTGGCGTCGGGAAGTCACCCGTTTGCGAAACCAAAAACGCGCTCCAGTGTCTCCCCCCTCCTCGGTGTTTGCCAGCGGGGGTTGGGTTTTCGTCGCTGGCAACGTTGTTGTAAAAAAAACAATCACTTCGTGAGCTCGGGACCCTGGTTACCGCTTATTTTTTTGCCTCTAGTTTTGTTTTTTGCGGTATCCATATTGGTGGTCGAGTAGAATATGTTGTGCGGGGTAGAGAACCCTCACTCCGCGCAAAAGGGATGATCGCACCACGTTGTGTTAAATTGGTCAAGCACCCTCGAGGTAGTTACACAGTGCTTACAACTGTCTCTGGAAGTGAAAGCACCAGAATATGAATGAATTCATACGCAACTGTCACCCGTGCGCCAAGAAGTAAGCACAGGATGCCGAACACCCTCAGCAGGATGCAGCGCACCCTTCATGCGACTCGCCGAATATCTCACGGCGCTTCGCGCTTGGTGATGTGAGAGCCTGGTCCGGTGAGAACCCGGCGTGCTCCGTCACGGCTTTGTCGGGATGCGAGGTCAATGTTCTAACGACTACGGCATACTCGACTATAATTACCCTCCCCCTGCAGCCCGCCCCGCCCACTTGCCTGGCACCCTGGAGTACGCGGGTGTAGACACGCCGCATGCGAAGAGACTGCAACGTTCGTTTCGACCATCAGCGCATGACGCCGCAGAATGCTTATCGGCTCCCACCTTACGGAAGGCATCCATCCTACCCTTTCCTTTCGGCAAACTCAGGGAGGTGTGGTGTTAGGAGCGGATACTCGAGCCACGGGCGGGAAAACGGTGTGCGACCGCAACTGCGACAAGATTCACATCCTCGCTTCCAACATTGCCTGCTGCGGGGCTGGGACCAGCGCGGACGCGGTCAGGATAACAGAGGTATTTTTCGATAAGTTGGTGGTTGCTGCTGCTGCTGCCCTTGCTGTTGTTGTGCTGTCGTTCGATGCTGCTGCTACCGCTGGTGCTACTTAATACCGGGGTCGGCCCCGGTATAGCATGGTCGGCGAAGTCCTGTTGTTGTTGTTTCCTCCGCGGGCGGCACGCCCAAGAGAAAACGCACATTGATAGCTGCTCGCTACCCGGTGGTACACCCCGTCATTAAAAGGCTTTTCTTTTGCTGGGACGCATTGTTCATCTCGCAGGGGGCACGTCTCGCGCTGTTGCGAATGGCCCGAGAGATGCAAGCCTGCCTGCCCTCAAGCAGGTCGCCTCTCCTCCAATCCCAATCTCGGGCGGACGGGGAGAGGCCCTTGGCTAGCTGCGACAGCGGGCTGGATGAGGTGCAACGCAAGCATCTCCGGGTCGGCGCGGCGGCGTTGTTGCTGGAACGGCACCTGTTCCGGTACCAGGGGACCGTTTCCGCAGCTCTCGTTTTAGGAGGAGTGGACGTTATCGGCGAGCATATCTACCAGGCACGTATGTATTAATCTTTTTCTGCGTTGGTTCTCAGTGTCGAGTTGATAGGAGTGGACGTTATCGGGGAGCATATCTACCAGGCACGTTTTTATTATTCTTTTTGCGTAGGGTCTCAGTGTCGAGTTGATATTTCGGTTGTGTCTGCCCCTGGAAGCATGTTTCATTGACGTAAACTCCGTACATTGGCATCAGGGTTTTTGTGCGGGTGCGCTTTCGATCGAATGAATCTGTTGTGCATATGTTCATATTCATGGAAATGTTGAAGAGGACAGCTGTCGACATTGCGTTCGTCCCGACCAGGGACCTCCGTGCTTCAGATGGAACAAGCACGGAAGTCGCGGGTGCTTCCCTCACGACGGATGGGCGCCGGCTGTACAGCTAGCACCCGCAATTAAGATTTTTTTTTTTGTTAAATAGAGGGTCATCTTTCCCCGAAAAATAAGAAAATAGGGTTAAGAAACATAGCTCACGCTGGGTCACGCAAAAAGAAATGTCGCAATCTGAAACAGCGACGACCGCTGCCCTACTCCATTAGAAACGAGGGGTTACGGGGAGAGTGTTTCGAATAAGAAACACCCCACAACAGCTCCGCCCCCCTCGGTGTTTGCCATCGGGGTTGGGTTTTCGTCGCTTGGCAACGACGTTGTAAAACAAGCCAATTCACTTCGTGAACTCGGCAACCAGGTTACCGTTTTTTTTTTTTACCTCCGTTTTTTTTTTTGGCGGTAACCATAATGGTGGTCGAGTAGATCATGTTGTGCGGGGTGGAGAACCCTCACTCCGCGCAAGGGGGATGATCGCACCACGTTGTGTTAAAATGGTCAAGCACCCTCGAGGCAGTTACACAGTGCTTACAACTGTCTCTGGAAGTGAAAGCACCAGAAAGTAAATTAAGTCATGCGCAGCTGTCATCCGTACGCCAAGAAGTAAGCACGAGATGCCGAACATCCTTAGCAGGATGCAGCGCACCCTTCATGCGACTCGCCGAATATCTCACGGCGCTTCGCGCTTGGTGATGTGAGAGCCTGGTCCGGTGAGAACCCGGCGTGCTCCGTCCCGGCTTTGTAGGGATGCGAGGTCAATGTTCTAACGACTACGGCATGCACGACTATGAGTACACCCCCCCCCCACAGCTCCTCCTACCTCTCGCTCTTTCCCCCCTCTCCCACTACCCCCCCCCTCCCAAGTGCATTATTAGTTGTACGACGAGGGGGGAGTGTGTTTTTTTTGCGCGCACCGTCCGGCCCCCTGCCGACTCTGGCGCTCTCTGGCGTTCCGGCTCTGGCACAGCACACCAGACAGGCTGCGAACCACGATATGCTTTCTGCTGTATGGTTTTGATGGTGCTCTCCGCCAGCTCTCGTGAGCAGATAAGATAAGAAATTGCCGATTGAAGAAATTCAGCAGGATTTGGCGGCACGAAAGTAAGAAACTTGACATGAGAAATCGAACGACATTCGCTGAGTTTATAGCCCACAATAATAAATTCGAGGTTGGACCTCTAATAAGCGATTTCTAATTGCCGGCGCTAACTGCAATTCGATACCCCAACCGAAAATATCACTTCGCCGCAACTGTTGTCAGCGAGGCCTTCGTAGTTTCGTCATCGCGAAAAACATGTACGCGGAAGTATATTCCTAACATAGCTGGCCGTCGCCCTTCCTTGTGTCTCACTGGTACATGTTCCCGTTTTCGTCAACTTGGTGTTGGTCGGCCTTTTTGCGTGGTGGCCATCACAGATCCACGAGGGAGGAAGCCTCGCCGAGGTGGAATTCACGGCCATGGGTAGCGGGAGCCTGGCAGCATTGAGCGTTCTGGAGGTGATCTGTTGTTTCTGACGGCGCAGATGTTGTTGTTACTGTTGTTGATGTTACTTTTGCTGCCGCACCCGCTGTTGGTGGGAACCATACCCAATTCTTTTCTCAGGACCTCTATGCAGAACCACGTTTTTCTGGAAGTGTTCAACTGATGACAGACAAACGTAGACACGCGCCGTCGAGGTCGCATACGAAACAACCTCTCCGCATGAAAGCATGTAGAGAATGAGAGCCAGCTCATCGAACTGGTGGCGAGGTTGACGGCACATCAATCTGCTCTACCGTAGGCGGGAAGACTTGTTGAGTGCTGAAACACCGGCAGACAAGGGTGATGCAGTTTTTAGCTTAGGCATCCGTAGTGGAAAAGCGGCATACGTGGTATTGTGTTGAAGTGCACTGCTCACACAGCACTGTACGCGGCACGATCAAGGTGCCTAGAAGTATTCGTCTCTTGTTCGGAAGGTACATGGCTTCCGAGGCACAACCACATTTCCACATGCGCTTGTATGACAAGTCGTGGTCAGCACCTTACAAGTCAAAAATGCCGGATGAAGTCTTGCGCGAGCAGACGACCACTGATATATACATCAGTCCGGTACCCATGTGATCCACGGTTTCGCCGTCTAGAGGAGGAGGAAAGCGGAATGAGGTGTACCCTCATACTACGCCCTAGGACGAGACCACCCATTCAGCACGATAAGGGAGCAATTTCGGAGTATTGACATTGGGAGCTAATCTGTTGTTTGTATTTTCCGTTCCTCTTTTTAGCGGGGTTACCGAGAAAATATGACAGAACAAGAAGCCAAGGAGCTCGTACTAGAAGGCATCGCGGCGGGAATCGACAACGACCTGGGCAGCGGAAGCAACATCGACTTGTGCGTTATCACGGCGGAGAGAGGCCTGGAGCACCACAGAGGGGCTTGGACAGATCCAGGCCTTGATGACGATGGCATTGCTGCTCGAGAGCTTCCCGAAGGTCGGTCCAAAACAGCACATGCTCGGAAATGAGGCACGCAAAGATAAACATGGAACGAAAAACCATTTGGTAGATGCAGAAGTCTACCCTAGAACCAGATTGTATTCCCCCAGAGCAAGAACGGGTGCGATTGTTACTCAGCGTTCCTAATCATTGTGGGTTGTGAGGGGTGGTCGTGTTTACTCTTCCGCCCGTATGACCTTAAAACATCGTGTGTTCTTGGGGGCAAGGCCGGGCATGTATTCCCGCGAGTGGCATGACGATGACCGAGATCGTGATTTGCCAGAAGATGACAGGAGCGGGTCATACCGACAGCCCGTCTCTCCACGGTCACCACGGCTAGGCCCGCGTTTCTTGTCCTTGGTAAAAGTGACCGGCTATCATGCCTGTGCAAGGGTTGATAACGATACTAGACCTAGCCCCCGCCACCGGACGCCATTGTGACACATGCAACGTCCAGGTTCATGTGGTAGCGAAAATGACAACAAAATGGGGCAAGCCGATGCTCGCCTAGCACCAAGAGGTGACAAGAGAAGGAGTCGCCAAGAAGACCCAACCTCCGCACCCAGCAGCGCCAACAACAGCAAGTGTTTGTAGATCGAGAGTCCCAAGCATAGCTCGTGCCTTACATAGGTCACTGGTGCTGTTGAGGTCATATGATACTCTTGTTTTATGCAAGTACAGCCACAAGTTGGAGTTAAGGTGTGCGAACGCAACCTCAAGCTGGGGCAGGTGAGGGTGAGGCGATACTTGTCAGGACCATCTTGTGATCCCCCTGCGTTACGCTCTGTTGGCCTTTGAGTCCAAAACAAGCATACCAACAACGCCAGGTAGCTCGGTGAACGAGATGCTTTGTCTGCTGTGTCAATTGCCCTGGGCTCGAAGCGTTTGATTCAACATGAAATTTCGGTGCGGATGATGCAGTCTGCTTCAGCTCCACAATTCGGTTCGTGCCTTCTAAGGATGTGCAACGAAAGAAACAGAATCGACCTAAAAAATTCTTCCAACCCGTCGCAGGAATCGAGAGCTGGCAACCAAATCAACTTGATGCGTCTGATGACACCGAAAGTGGCGGTTTCGACGTCATCGTCGGCGGGGAGGGTGGATCGGGAGCATGGGTGGGAAACGTGCGTCGAAGAAACAGGGAGAAAAGCGTCATGAAGGTGGACCATGACGATGACGGGGCTCTACGTAGGTATCGTTGCAGCGCCCTCGACGATAAGATCGAAGTGCTGTGATGGTCCAAGGGTTCCCCTTGCGCTCGAGCGATTCGTTCTCCCTTCATCAAAATTTAGAGGGAACCTGGTGTGTGAAGAGCATCATCCGGGAGGGCAAGAAGACGGCGGGCCTTCTACGGAACCATCGGTGCATTTCTGTTCACGGTAGGATCGAAGTGAAATAGTTACGTTCGTTCCGCGTCCATCCAGGAGGTTATATTGGAGGGCCTCCCGTTGAAATGGTAAAACGGTTTTCAACAAGGGCGATACAAGTCATCATCACGCTGCAAGAAGCTACCGTTTACTACCGGTCGGGTCGTCGTCATCGCCCGGCTGCGGCCGGATGACCTTCCTCCTCAGGCGTCGGGCGCGCCGGTGAGCGGCAGTCCCGGGGCAAAGCCTCACGAAATTTCCCATTCGGGCAGGCAACTCCCCGACTTGGCGGGGCCTTCTGCCTTGGAGGATTTGATCGAGGTCGCTCTCCAGGTCTGCTTGCTCCTGTTGCGCACATATGTAGCCCACGAAGAGCAAGGACGGTGGCGATGGACAGTCGATGTTTTGAGTCGAGCGTTTGGGTATTGACACAGGTCACGCCTCCGCTTTGCTTAGGCCCGCGAAGCATGGACATGGAAAAATCATCGGTTTTGGTTCAAGGCGCGTCCACCTCTGTTTTCGTCACGAAAAATGCAGATTGGAGACCGCTGCAACCTGGATGGCGGGGAAAACAGCTTTGCTAGGCTCGGTCATTGCTGTTTGCGGTTAGAGACGTTCTTGGAAGCGATGAAAACCTCCTCTCGGTCGGTTTTCGTGATCGTTATGTGTGTCTGGTTTGGTCATCTTGTGTGTTGCCTTTTTCGTCCCACCTATCCCGGGCGCCAGTCACACCGTGCGGTATAGGTTTGTCGCACCAGCCGGAGATCACACAAATGAGGTTTCGCCAAACGATTAGGTGTGTCTCCGCCTTGCCCCCTGCGTTGCGTTTTACGCGCGAGAAGGGTCGGGTGATCGCCTCGTGGGATTTCTTAGTGCTTTTCAGCGCTGGTTTTGGTTGCATGATGTGGTTCCCTCGGACGCACTTGCGCACCTGCCGGTGTTTGTTTCTATACTCGATTCAGCGATAGTATCCACCGACTACGGGCGACAGACAAAAACATACCAGATCCTTCCACCGCCAAAGTGACCAAAAAGGCTACACAGCAGTAGGGTACGTGGTGACTCAATCCTTTAGGTCGCGAAACGGAATTTGCACCGTGCTTCATCGTGGGATATCTCGTGGTAATAAGCAACCTGCCAACGAAGGTTTCTTTTCAGAATCAACGCACCCGATGGTCATGCCGATAGTGCAGAAATCGCGCATTTCCTCGTGGTCCTGGTTAATTCAGTCTCGTCGCACGACCTTGCCACCCACGCAAACTCAAGCTCAACCAGCGGTACGCTCGTACCCCTGTTATTGCTGTTGAACAGTTTGGATTCAGAATGAACTCAACAGGTCAACGATTCCAGAAGTGGCAAGATTCAGCGGCGCAAGATGCGAAAGTTGCTCCACGCGGGTGACCTAGATGTGGTGCAGGAGCTAACAGAACGGTCCCAGCGGCTGATCCTGATATTTCTGTACGGAGCGACCGCGATGCATCGTCACAGCAATCCCTGCGGTGCCTGCTACAGAGAGGGTGCCCCATCTCGCGCCCACTTTCAAGCCTTCGCTGCAAACGACAGACGACAACTCTACGATGGTGCGTCTCTTGAAAGAGAGGTCGAAGAAGTACCAGGGCCGTCACTCCGGGTACCCCCCCTCCCGCTGACCAAGTCGGCCAACGACAGAGAGACGAAGGGCGTCGATGCTCGTCCTGGTACATACCGAGTTATCCCGTGTTCCGTGCTTCTCAACGAGCGTACCGACGAATGGTCTGTTATTACCCTTTGATTGGACGGGTTTGTCGAGGTTGGTGTCTTCCGGAGCCACGTCTTGCTGTGCCGCAGACGCGGGTGGCGACTCACGAATGTTTCACTCCGGTGACTGTTTGTTGATGTACTCCCAAACAGCGTTCCTTCCCACAAGAGACGAGTGATGGCGCTGACACTCACCGCAACGACGCTGTGCGATCTCCGAAACGGCGACTGCCGGTCGAGCTGTGTGCGAAAGACGTCATTGACATCGCGGAGGCGGTGAGTACCCACCTTTGCTTTTGCCGCCCTTGTTGGTGGGATGCATTTTCCAGAAGGTTCATGGAACACGAAACCCTAAATACCTGACGGTTAAGGCAAACATCCAAGCACACAGCCAGCAAACACCGACCACCAAAAAAGTTCATTAATTTCCCCTACCGCTTGGACAAGCAAGAATTCTACCACGGCACGGCCAAGGCTCTCGCATGGTGATTTGGATGCTCTTGCTGAAACTGAGGCGATGCACGTGCAAAATCCATCGGTATATCATAGATCGTTGTACAAGGTTGTTGACGTTCCGAGCCTCCATGACTCATCATTCATTCGAGTCTCTCCGATCGGTTGTGTTCAACAGTTTCAGAAACCGTGAAACATGTGCCGACAGAGAAAAATTTTGCCGGTGGTCACGAAACGGTCCCTTTGCGATTTTGCCCGTTTCTTCAGGCCACCAGGGTTGGAGGGGTTGAAGAGTCCGACGACCTGCTAGACCTCGGAGTTAACTCTCTCCTGGCTGTTGGGATCAGCAAAGTGATGTTGTTGTTGTGAATGTACCGTGGAGGTGGTGTTCGGCGGTGTGCTTTCAAGAGCTCCCGAGGCCTTCCACGCGCTGTCAAACACTCGGAATCAGGGTGCTTGCCCGATATATGTGTCTCTTCTTAGGACACGACCCCTTGAAGCACAGGATAACGGTGGGTTGTCCGCACAAGTGATTGCGTTGATCTTGGACTTCGCTCACTCGTTCGTCTATCCCAGCACGGCGACAATGTAGGCCTGCGGAAGGCCTCCGCGTCCGAAAGCCTGTACTGCCGAAGATGTCCAACGATGTGACTCGCTGCCCCCTGATGATGCACCTTCGGGCGAGCAGGACCTGTCTGAAGCCTCCAGATGCGAGCTCCCACAGGAGCTTGTCGTCATGCACCCCACGGCGACTCTTATCGCGGAGTTCATAAGCTCTGCCGTTCAAAATCGCCAAGCCAAGCCTCGCGCCAGGTGTGAAACGTCAGGTTGTTCGGATTGAATCGTTAGGTATTACTGGAGTACAGTAGTACTGTTGCACAGGTACCCCCAACGGCAGGATATTTGCTCGTTTCTGACTCTGGCCTGGGGCGGGCAGTTGAGGTGACGATCAAGATACGGCGGTTGCTTGAGAGCCATTCCGACATGAAGGAAGAGAACGGAACGCCCTCGTTGATAGCTAGGACATTGAACCCCCAACGTTGGGCTTCCGGCTCAGAGGTGCGTGTCAGAATTCACGCTAAGCTCGTGATGCCCAGCGCGAGCGTTGAAGGCTAATTCTCCTACCCTCTCCTGACCGATCTGTCCTGCCACCCTCCGCCGGTGAAGCTTCCGACGCAATCGTAGCAAGAGAATTTCGACCCGCTTCTTCCGAAGGCCCTCAAAAACGTCCAACTTCGACTGCGCGGGAGTCTCTCGCCTGAGAGACCTGGGCGAGGAGTGGACCACAGGTCCCATGCAAGGATGGTCATTCCGCCTGACCCAGGTAAACAGACCGCCGCGATTTGTGTCATGAAGGCATCATGATAATGTATGTCTCGGTGCGGACGCTAACGTACGTCGTTGGACACTTGTTCTTGTCCACATTCTCATTGATGGGTTAGCGAATCATGCCCCCCCACCACCACGCTGTGCCTGTCCTGCCTGCACTGCACTGCGCTTGGTGTCAGACAATCCTGCTAGAATTGGTCCTGTTCCAGATATTTGTTGCACTGCAACCAGCCCATCATTACTGGCGGCATCTCAACGACTTGGCCTCGACAACGTCGTTCGGGGGATACAACAAGGAGCCGTGGCTGGACGTGAATCTGCCCGTCTTCGGAGAAGGAGCACAAGGCAAGCAACGAGACTCCCAGATCCCACCACGAACAACCGCTACGCTAAACTAAGAAATAACTATAGAATTTGTCGTCGTCTGCTTCAGATTCTCCCACCAGTCGAATGATCGAACTGGTGGGAAACCGTGCTGTGAGTGCTTTGGTGCCTCACTTATGGGCGGCATTCAACTTGCTTCGTGCTATCCTACAGAATCGTCCAAGGTGCAGGCCCTTGAGCTTTTTGGAGTGCTTTCGCGGATCATAGGGTTCACGTGTTTCACCGCCATCATTGTGGTGACAAAGCTCCTGCTGGGCGCGCACCCCGAAGAGCGCGTCCCCCTCGTGTTTGCGGGCGTATCTCTCCTGGTGCTACATGAACACCATGCTGAATGTTTGGGAGTGCGTCGGTGGAGCGTGGTTGCTCGATACCAAGCTGATGATCTTCATTTATCGCCGCATGGGCGCAAAGGTGAGAGAACTACGCTTTCTGATTGGCCCCCGTCTTGACAGTGTTCTCACCCGCGTGCAGGAAGCTCTTTTTCGGGAGGCATCCGTTCTCGCGGTATCTTGGGCTAGATGACATTGTTGGTACCATCCGCGCGCCTCGTGACAGCACTCCAAGCTTCAGCCCTGGCACTCGCACACGCATCTACCACATTTTCAGATTACCTGGACGACCAGCATCAGCGTCTTCATTCGCGACTTCGATTCCGTGGACGTCCAGGCAGGAGCCAATGTGGGTGGCAACCTGTACGTCCGGCGGTTTGAGGCTTCTTGCATGGACGTCAAGCCCATCATGATTGGTGAAGGCGCGGATATTAGGACCGGGTCCGTGGTGTACGGAGGGGCAAGCGTCGGGGATCATTGGTGAGATGTGTCAAGGAGAAAGGGCTTCCTCCCTTCCTGCCCGCAACGATCACCATAAGGGAAGCTTCAGCGGCAACTTGAACCAATGGGCATACAATAGCTTGGTTATTCAATAGTACGACAGACGTGGTCATTCTGAGACTTGGACTGCCCTTTACGAGCTTCACCACGGATGGATTTCAGGCATCATCAATATGTCGCAGCATGTGTACGTATCGAATTCTTTCCCAAAAAAGTTGAGTTTTCGACCCTCTCCCCGTTGGTAGGAGCCAATGATGTGTGACCATTGGGTCTATTCGCCCTCAGCGCCGCTTCAGCAGAAAGAAGTACGTTCGCCGAGACCCTCTGGTGCTAGAAGGCTTCAACATCCACAACTGTGGCGAGGAAATCAAGTTTTTACCTCCACCTTGATTCTGACATGCTGTCCTCCCGCTTGTGCTTGTTATGACCGCGCCGGCCCCTCGTGTTTTGACCTCTTCGGTGGAATATCCGATCCAGTGTTGTCGAGCCCCTTACCGTCATTCCGCCGCTTTCGAAGCTTGCGGTGAATCGACGCATGGTCAATTTGCTCGCATGATGGGCTGTCCGGAAATGTTCTGGTTCAACTCAACCTTTCATCTTCGTAAAGACGGATGCTTTTTGTGTAGTTCCAGATGAGCCCCGTATGTTGCGAGAGCGAAGATTCGTACACGATCGAAGGATCGCCTGCATGATTGGTTCTGGGTCGCCACAACAATAAGGCGCAAAGAAATATGCAACAGAGACCGCCCACTTGACATGTTACTGGTATTTGAACAACTACTGCCCTCTGGGTGCACGTTTCAAGCCACACGCAAATGCCCTATGAGCGTGCTGTTTCCCGTAGCAGAACGTCAGTGTCGCATTACGAGCTCTCCCGCCTACGCCTGTGTTCGGCTCGCCCGCTGTGCCTGTACTCGGCCGCACTCAAATTGGGAAGGTCACCCTGCCAAGTAAACGAAGAAGGGTGGTCCAGCCCATGGCGGCGTGTCGCTGAATGTTCCTGGCCCATGTGTCGCCATACCCTGTCTGATCGAGGTAAGCTGAAAGTGAATGGATATTTATGCAATGTGCCGAATGTGAGGACCTTTGTCCATTCTGATTTCAGTGGGCGATGTTGCAGAGGAAACGGAAGTTGAGCGCGAGAAATGCACGAAAGAAGCGACGGGCTCAACTTCTTCATGAACAAACTTCACAACCGCTTTGCTTCCGCATTCTTCGTGCTTAATCCTCTGTCAGCTCCTTTTGTGCACTCACCAGCCGGCAGCACCGGGAGCATCAGCCCCTGAGAAAGAAAGGGTGGTAGCACTCGATTGTCGTACCAAAAGTAGGTGCTTTGCCGCAGGGCAACCCTTACCACGACCGTGGCTTGCGCCATGCCTTGCGCTTGCCACGAAAGGCAAAAAACTCATGTCCCCTGACCCCCTTCTCACCCCGGCGGGCGTCATCAGTTGGTGAAGCTGTTCTCGATCCTGTGCGCCATGGTTGCTATGACGACAATGACCTACATCCCGACCATACTGTACAAGTGTGCCGGCCTATCGGGGAAATTCCGCTGCACGGTCCTGGTCAAGATCATTTTTCTCGTCGCCGGAGTACCGAGCCAGCTCGCTCTCTACATTGTTTTGCTCAAGTGGGCTCTCACAGGCACGTTGGGGTGACCTCCCGCAGTGACGTTGGGGTGATCTCCTCCAGTGACGCTAAAATATGGACATGTGGGCGAGCAAAACTTGGCTGGAACTGGAGCGGGCACCTAGCACGGTTGAGAGCACGAAATGCTAACGGCATCGCCATATTTCATCATCATAGTTTAATAGCGGTAACCTAGGACGCCTCTGCGGGTGACACTGCTGACCCCTCCCGTCCAGAGTGAAAGGTTCCGCCGAGCAAAGTCAAACCCCACAGGGAGCAATGTTTGTTGTGAGTACGTTGTCCTTACCCTTGATGGAACACGTTACGGAAAGGTCGGGGTCCAGACGAAGAACGCCTATGACGGAGAAGCAGGAAATTGGAAACCGTCGTCAGTTCGTACATGTATACAAGTCTGAACAAGGGTGTAGAGTACGCCGGTCTCTTCCATCACGTCCTGCGACGCCTGCTCTGTTTGGTTTTCTACTTTCGGGGTTACTGTCGGCCCGTAGGTCACGGCACCGCGTTGCTCATTTCCGCCCTGCCGGACTGCCTACCTTTCGTCGGCAAAATGCCATGCCCTTGTTGTTTGCATCAAGGGCGTCCTTTCGCCGTTCCAGGGTCAGCCTGCCGAAGACAACAAACGAACAATTGGTCCCCTCGACACAGATCTGAAAGTTACGTATGGCGCATTCCTCGTTGTTCGCTACGATGGATACTGGCAGGTCGGGTGACAGAGGGCTCCTGCCAGCCGACCACCTTTCAGAATTGGCGACGCTGGTACCTCGGCAGGCTTAACACGCTTGCGTTCGCCTACTTGCACCCCTTCAACAGGTGAGTCCATTTTTCGGAGATCGCCTCTCGAAAGATGGTGAAGACCTCCACGGTCCACAAGAAGGCACATCATGCTCGGTTCATTTGAGCCGCTCACACAAGCCCAACGAAAAAATGATTGAAGACAGCTTTTGGCCAACTACAACAACACCCGGACCTTTGTTCCCACAGTTTTGGAGGTTTTACGGCCGATTCTGTCCACGATTTTTTTCCGTGCACACCTATCGTAACCCTAGCTTTGACCGCGCGACGCGATCACCGCAACATGTACCTCCACCTGTTCCGGTACCTGAGCACATTGCCGCTACCGCTTACCTACGTGCGACGGCCTCCCGTCCTACCTCTCTGGCCCTTGTTTTGGATGGCAGGTGTCCGAGATACGAGTGGTGGGCGGCCGCCCTTGGCGTGAAAGCGGGGCGTGGGTCGGTCGTCTTGCTGCAAGGGTACAACCCGGAGGACGCACACTTGGTTGAGGTGAGGTAGCGCCTGAAACCGACGAGCTCCTAGCGACCAGACCACCTTGGCGATCGAGTTTCGTGGACCAATATCTCTACATTCAGTCCCAACGCACGCCTCCCGGGAACATGCATATTATATCGCTCACGCGACTCGTTTCTGTGAGTCATTGGGGGGGGGGGGGGGGGGGGGG